TGTATGTATATACGTATTGGTGTAAGTTTGTATATACAAATATGTTTGCGTTGCCGTGTTTTCGATCGGGTTAAGTTGGTTCTGCCCCTCAGTAAATGAGTTCGAATGCAAACGCGTACAAATTTTCCCATGAACAGGAATTTGTTGTAGTTGTACTTATGTAGTTATAAATATATTATTTACGTCTGTAGATGCGTATGAAAGTGTTTTCGTATGCTGATATGCATGCCCACTTGTGCATAAAAGCAACAGTCATTTAAAATATGCACTCAACGTACATGCACATTAGGCAGGTCCGAAACTACCCTGGAAAAAACAACTTTAGAAGCATCTAATTTAAATTTCTTTCCATTAAATTGTGAAAATAAAAAAATTTTAAAAATTTTTTATTTGACATTCAATTTAAAATGAATTAACTGCCACATCTGGTGGCCTCTTAAGCCAAGAGCTTTAATAAAAACTTGAACGCTACTAACAGTAATTATTTAATTTATATGTAACGAACCGACTTTGTAAATTGGCCACGGTTTCGATCACTTTTAAATAGTATTTACAGTTGTCAAAATCAAATTTATTGTTATTATTTATAAAAAAGTAATATTGATCACAGTGAAAACAGATCTCTTTGCAGAATGACCCTGTTTATGTGTGTAACCCTGTGCAGTCATCATTTCCACCAAGAGATGTCGCTGCGTTCAAAACAAGTATAACCAGTATAAATGACTCGACTTATTCATGGGAAAGATGCAGTTATGTCCGTTTTAGATTTCTACCTTTTGTGGAATCTTTAAAAGGCCATAGTTGCCAGTCTAACGTCCTCTTTTTAATCTCAGCTTTGAACGCAGCAACATCTCCGGTGAGTACCTTCAAATTTTAAAATAAATATATTTTTGAGCCCATTATACGAATTCACTTGTTTTTTAATTGTTGAGCCACTTGGCGTAGAAAGTAGGATTTTTAAATTTGCAGCTTTCAAGAGAACGGCACCTTCCCCGACACCCGTTGCCGGAATTCACGAGAAATTTCGGCCCAGATAAATCTCGAAAAGAGACAATCTCTTGAGTTTTGTGCACAGTCGAGTCGGCACAGTCGCATTTCCCTTTGCGTCTTTGCGTTTAGAAGTGCATGCCGAATTTTTCAGTTTTTTCGTGCAAATTCAATAGGTGAGGACTGTAAAATATAGCTGCCGTAGCTGGGGGTGTATGCGAAGACCGTGGAGAGTGGATTCGGCGCCGTTCGGAGCTACACGGACTGACGTAGGGAACGACTTGCCGCGTTTTACGTCGAGATCTTAAATTGACATCGTACAAAATACAGCTGGTGCAAGAACCGATAAGTGAAGGATAATGCCTATGCGGACGACTCCACTTCAATGTAGAACCTGGAGGAAAGCATAACAAATGTCATTCGCCTGCTAGTCGAAATACTCGAACGAGTCATCGAAAATTGTACTCAACGGAAGGGCCATCTGAGACGTAGTCACATTGCCAAAATTTCTTCAAAATCAAAATGCTAAAGAACGCTCTTTCGAATGATAGTAAACATTCCGCATTAAATTTAAATTTTCTGTCTTTTTTTCTTTTGAAAAGTAGGAAACTTCAAACGGATCACACTTCATAAATCACCCAATCTTCGTGATGTTTCTTTTAGGTATCTGTTAATGAGCTAAGAGGCAAACACCACATTTCATGCCCTTAAGCATATGGTGCAAAACTTTACTTAAAACTCTGTGGAAATATCCAAACTTGGGTATTTAGTAGGAGCTCAATGCTCTCGCGGCTGCTCTTGAATTGAATATATTTTATTAAAAAAGCAAAGAATCAAAAAACTTAAAATAACTATTTTTGATCAGAAAAATAAATATCGCGAGATACAAATTATATCTGATGTAAAAATGTAAATGAATTTTAGTTATTTTTTTTTTTAGCGTTACGATAGATTTTGAAAATTGTTCTAAGGAGTGTAATTTTTTTCTTTTTACTTTATGTGAACTTTTAGTAAAAACCACATGCTATTTTAGATTTAAAATTATTTAACAACAAATTTCAGTTTTTCTCATTCATTTTACACATGAAATGTGGAATTGGAAAAAATGTTTTTGGAGCCACCCTAATACACTCGACTATAGGCGGTGGATCGTGCGTATATGGCCATATTTGACTTTATGGTCATGGATTGGATAACTTGGGCCGTTACCAAAACCCTGCTGTAATACCCCCATATGCAAACACACAAACTCATAGACGTACATACATACATTCTCTAACATACATATGTACGTTGTGCGCGTTTCTTGCCTCTAATATGTTAAACATCTTCCACAACCCGAAAAAAAAAAAAACAAAAAAAAAACACAAAAACAAAAATGCTAAATTAGATTTTTAATTAAAATAATTTCGTATGCAATTTAGATAATCGCGGGCAGGAGTGACCGCGCACTCACCACACACACACACATACCTGCATCGCTTATGGAAACAATATTTTTGCAAATCGCATGCAACACTTGCTGCGTGTGATCGGTGGCTGCTGACTACTCCGGCTGCTTGGCTTTGTTGCTATTGTTGCTATTGTTGTTGACCACGCGGTCCCCTAAAAATGTTTTTCGCTTAGTGGACTCTTCCGTGTCTGTGTGGCTGTGTGTGTGTGCGTGTGTTATTGTGGTAGGTGATTCTCCGCTTTACCGGCAGGCGTAACGTCAGGGCGTTTACTAAAGCAACAGCAACAACCACATTTCAGGCAGCAACTATGTATGGATAATAGTAAGAATAACAACAACGACAACAACAACAATCGGATTTGTGCAACAATTTCGCATAGTCAATTGCCACTGACCACGTAAATATTGCTGCCATGCACTTCGCCCGGTTCGGTTCCATTAACCCGAGCACTGCGAGATAGATGCGCAGACCTTCGTCGATTGAACGCTAGCCCAAAACAACATTGGCTGTGGCTGGCAGCAAGGTCAAGAGCGGCGACGCAGCGGCGTTCGTTCATGCAGGCATGAAGCCTACAAGGACCGAGAAAATATTTAAATTGATCATCTCCACTTAATAAAATAAGAAAAATCGAGTTGTTGTTGTTGTTGTTGTTGTTGGCGACTGTTGTTGTGAGTCGGCGGCGGTGGCGATGGCGGTGGCGGCGGCAGCAACAGCAGCAAGAAGCGGCAACAGTTGCTGCATCATGAGCTCGTCTTTAACTTTTTTTCGCTCCTTCTAGTTGTTGCTGTTGTTGCTGTGTTGGTTTTGAACGATTTTCATAATTCACCATTTCATATTGTAATAATATTGTGGCAGCTGCTGCGGCCATTACTCTGGTAAGATCGCTGATCAGCGGCAGTCACTTGCGCACTCTCTGCTCCGCGCTGTTTCGCAAAACTGCCACTGCCTCTACCTTATTGTCCAAATAAGTAACCAACTACTGCCCAGCTGCTGTATCCACCTACCTCCGCGGCTTCTGCCTCTGCGTCTGCGACATGGTTACGGCTGCCCTAACGTCCATTTGATAACCGACGATCGGAAAGATCATAAGTATGGCCGATGTTGTTGATCGGAGGCTGGTTGGTTGTCTGCTTGGTTGGTTAGGTGCTCTGTTATATTCTCATGGCAGCTAAAACTGGCCAAAACTCAAAGGTTGTGCATGTAATTAAGGTAACATGTAGTTGCGCGCCGAAGAAAGAGGATTCCGTCTCTTCACCTCAGCCATCACTTGCGGGCACTAGCTGCTTGATATTTGCGTTAAGCCTAGAAGCTTGCACACTGGCTGCTGGCTGTTGGCTGTTGGCTGTGGCTGGCGGCTGTGTGTTTTAAACAAAAACCGATTCGTTCTAATTCATTTACTCAAAATTCCTAGTTTTTTTTCAATAATATGTGTAATTAACGGGAAAACCTTTTGACATAACGAAGAGGATTTGTATGCGAAAGAATTGCAAAAAAATACAGCACATCATTAAATACTGTTATCTGTCTTATCTGTGCGTTGCATGCAAATGTCCAGCCTGTAGAATTTAATGGATTTATTCTCAAAAGGTCAAGAAGGCACACACAAGCCGGGAGTGTTGAAGTCAGCTCTGCAATGCTAAGCAAATCCCTTTAAGTAGGCCAAGCCTGGCAGGTATTAGACGGTTTATGACGTGAATTGGCGCCGAGGCTCATTGGTGGTCCTTAGAATCCGTTAGTCTAACAGATAACTGCACTCAACTGCAACTCGGCCTTTTTTTTCGTTTTTGGACTATAAATTATCCTGCACAAAGAATTTCCTAGGCAATGCCAATGATTTCAGTTTAATTCTGATACATACAGACATATGTTCATATGTACTTACAAGCGTTGTTTCGTTCAGATGTATATCACCTACATACTCGTACATATAAATCTATACCGAAAATCTCAGGCTGCTCAATATTGCATTTAGCTGCAACTCGTATTTGTAGGGCACTGAGCAATAGAGAAGCAACAATAACAAATTATTCCGTTAAAACTGATAACTTCTAGTCTGACAGGGTCCTGTATTCGTCGAGTGCTCTTTAGTATTTACCTGCTGCTGCTCTGCCACTGGGCCGACAATTAACAATGCACGAAAATCTTTCATTTTCTGCTCTTTCTTTTCGTCGCTGGTTGCCTCACCTGTTCTTACATACATATGTACGTGCATGGTGAGTCTATTATTCACTGTAACTTCCATTTATGACTGCATTGTCCCGGAGAAAGGACCCCCACTGTGCGGTAAAGTCCGTTACCGTTACAGTTTCACTCAAGAAAATCAAAGAAAAATCTGCAATAAAGTGAAAATAATTGCCATAAAAGATTGTTAAAGGTAAGGATACTCGTATATATGTATATATGTATGTATACTTCTGCTAAAACAACATTTTTTTCAACGGCGTCAAGAACTTGTAAGCCAGAGAAAGGATACTTTGAAGATATGAAATTCTCCCTGCGTGACATTTTTTAGCTTCAACGAAGAAGAAAGAAAAACACTTTTATTTCACTAGTTTCTTATTTCCATTTATTTTGTACTTTATTCCCTCTTTCGCTATTTACCATTCACCAAATCACACATTTCTTCAGCGGATTCATATCCGCACCCAATTTGCACTTGAACACCTCACTGAACTCGGGCATGTTCTGCAGCGTGCCAATCACCCGGAACTCCTCGTATGCATGTACGTCTGTCTTCATTTTGCGCACCTTCGAGGCGTCATCCTTGCCCGTGCACCAGGTTTGGGCGAATTTCAAAAAGTACAGCTGCTTATTGGTCAACTCCAGACCCGGTATGGGCTTCTTATCACCATCCAGTTTCCCATAACTATTCAGATAAGCCTGATAGGAGATGCGTGTGCCTACATTGTCGGCAATGTTGTCGCCCGATGTCAGTGTTCCATTCGTGAGCACGCCGTGGAAGATGTATTTGTTGTACTGGGACTCCATGCAGCGATAGCGTTCCTTAAAGTTGCGCAACGAGGCCTCTGTCCACCAGTTCATTTTCTTGCCATCGTAATTGAATTGATAGCAATAGGAGTCGAAACCGTGCGCCATCTCGTGGCCGATGATGTTGCCGATGCCGCTGAATTTGATGGACGGTGGATATTTGTAGTGATAGAAGGGCGCTTGCGAAATGCCAATGCCAATGAAGACCAAATTTAAGAAGTCCGCATAATAGGCGTTTACATCACGTGTTGACATTAAGGGCGGTATAATCGCTTTATTCACCGAACGCATGCGCACACGCGCGCGATTACGCTCCACCGCCTGCAAGTTGCGATACCAATTATCACCGATCTCAACGTCTTCGTATACCTTGTCGATGATGTCACGATGTCGCATTTCGTCTGAGTAGCCGACCGTAATATCCATAGCGCGAAGCTTCGTTTTTGCATGCGAACGGGTTTCATCGTCCAGCCAAGTGTATTTATCCAGCAGCTCGTAGAATGTTTCTTTTATGTGCTTCGCGAGCTGGAGTATATCTGCGCGTCGATCAGCATCGTACACATTGTCTATGAACCAGGGCAGGAGGGCGTAATTAAAATACTGTCCGGTGTGCTCTCGACAACTACTCTCCACTGACTTATCGCTCACCTCGTACTTCCAAATATAGTAAAACTTGACGATTGTGCGCCACTTCACGTAGTTCCTTAGTGTCTCGAGTTCGGTTTTCTGAAGGAAATTCACCAGAGGATCCACATTAGCGATGGTGTTTTGTATCAACCAGTCATTCCGAGCACTGCCATTGAAAGCGACCTCAAAGTAACGTGTCCAATTCAAAGCGTCTTCTTTGTGCTGCAGGTAGAACTCGGCCAGGGAGAGTTGCTCGGTTTGGTTGCGTCTTTTCGCGTGCATTGTCAGGTTGGATTCAAAGCTAACAGCCAGCTCGAATTCATCTTCGATTTGTTTCACCTCTTCGTCTCGTTCGATTTTAAAGTCTCTTGTTAGATTTTTTATATCGACGACATCCGAGTTGCCCAATACCTTGCCCGAAGTGCTCAAAAGCACATCGAACTTACGGCTCTCGGTGTCGTAGTGCACCTTCAGCGGCAACAACGGATACATCCCGTAGTTCGACATGAAGTTTATATTGATCCAATCAAAAGTCTCGTTCGACTGCTGCCTCTCGGCTAGATTGAAAGTGAACTCTTCCATATCTAAAAGCAATTTATAACCGACAGACATGTCTTTGTACATGCGGATACAAGAAGCGAAGAACGTCTTAGCTTTCGCCTCTGCATTATGCTGCTTGAGCTCTTTATCTGTGGTGTTCTTCAAATACTTTGTCAACATTTCATTCACCGAAAGCTGCATTGCATTCAGGAATGAATTATTACGCGAGCGCGCCGGCACCAGTTCAGCCTGCTTCCAATTACCACAGGCATACTCGTAGAAATCCTCACAGGGATCGACGCTCTGATTCATACTGGCCAAAGTTAGGCGACCCAGCTCCTCGAGAACATCGTATTCATCCATTTTTGTGGGCAGCTGGAAGAGTGCGCTACCAGTGCCATTCTGCTCTTCTGCGGTGTGGGCTGGTCGTTCTGTTGAAATGCTCATCGCTTGCGCGACACGCGGTGGCACAGGCCACGGCCATGGCCAGTCAACGATTGCCGTAATGATCAATGTGGCTAATAGACCGTGAAATGGCCGTGGGTTTGACATTTCGACGTTGATAGTTTTTATTTAAATACTCGCTATCTCCAACTCTGCTGCCGCTTATGTCACTGCCGCACTTTGCTCTATGTTCTATGTGGATTCCCAAAAACTCTCAACTCGATTTTGCTTCTATACGCGATGAAAGTCTAAATACTTCTGAGCCACAAATCCAGCTTGCGCTTTTAGTTTATATGGATTTTCGGCTAATTTCACCCAAACTGATTTCCATCGCTTTATTGGCTAAAATTGTTGTTGTCGGTTGATGACTGCTCGCTGCCCTAAATTCGAATAGAAACAGAATTTATGAAAGTGAGCGATTCTACCTGTAAACATACATACATATGTACACATTATATGCATACTCGTACATCTATGTATGCAGGTAAGTAATCACATCCCACATGTCGACACCTCAACTGCTCGCCACGCTCGCAATTAAATTTATAAATCGTCGTTCTTCACCGCAAAAAGCTCATTATGTGGCCTATTTTTCAAAAAACTCTCAAATGAGGGAGGGGGCATCACCACATGTACTGTAAGCGTGTAGTATGTGGTATGTAGTATGTATCTTTAGGTAAGCCAAAAACGAAACAAAACAATAAATAAGTTTTTTAAATCGAATTCTAAGACAGAAACGTCAGCTCACCGCAGATATGAATCTTAACATTTGGCAAAAAGATTTTTTTGGTGGCAGGCACATTCGAAATACTATTTTTTGAATTGTTTTCCGATTATTATTTTCCGTGGCAAATCAATTTTTCGATCCATACTTATTAGACTTTTTATTCTACACTCCAAGACTGGACGTGAACTGAAAGAGGTCATGAAAAACGGAAAATCATTTAATAAATGACAAACCTCTTAAGGCGTTGCATGTTCTTCTTCAGGCGCAAAACGGTCATTTTCAACAATTTTCTAATAAAAAATAAAATATTATTTTATTCAAACTTGTTGCTGTCTTAAAGACTTATACATATTTAAGAAAGCATCAGGCCGAGTAATAAGTAATCCATTATTTGTGATCTGTAGAAGTGTTGATCACTTAACTTGTTAAGATGGACACAAACGCAAGTCAGGCTGCTGAAAGTGAGAATGGTGCTTATATGGTTCTGATAACGTCAGGCTCAAGCATGCGCAATTTTGATTTCGGTGATTTCGTTTTGGTGACTTTGATTGGAAAAAATGCGCCACAGTGTGGAAGGTGAACTGTTGAAAATGTCGATGAAATATTGGAAACCATCGAATCCGACAGATTTGCGAGCACTGTTTCGATTTCCCAGAAATGGCAGGAAAGATGGCTTGGAACCACTTGAAAAAAAAACGAAAAAGTGCCTCATGAACCGAGCTTCAACCTGCGAATTGCTGCTCAATCGTAACAAAAGCTACAATTTCAGAAGTTGATAGCGATTGGATTTGAAAAGTGGATCACAGCCTCGTTAAACTAGAGTGGCCGTGGTCAGAAAGGTTTTGTCTTGTTTTTGGTGGGATTGGCAAGGAGTCATCTACTAATAGTTACTTCCTTACGTCCAAGCATTTAATTTGGACTGCTGCTGTCAGCAATTGGACCATCTGGTGGAAGCAATCGCCCAGCTTTGGTTAACAGTTGGATTAACCGGAGGGGAATCGTGTTTCATCAGGACAATGCCAAGCCACACAAATCGATAGTGACTCACCAAATGCTTCGAAAGCTTACTTGGGAGGCTTAATACATCCACAAGTGACTACCATCTATTCCATTCTTGTTCGATAATTCTAACTATGGTTAGGCGCGATTTTCTACGATCTGTGAGTGAGTGAGAGTGAGACTGTGAGTTTTTCCGTCAGTCATTCGTTGGAGCAGAATATTCTTCAAAGTTAACAAATATCTATACGAAACATTTGACAATAAAAACAACAACAGCAATTTATTTTAAATTTTTTAGCAAAAGCATTTCCGCACCCTCTCAACATCGAAGCTTTTTTTTACAAAACAATATGTATACAACATACATATATATTATATATGTGTACATATGCACTATACATACATATGTATATGCATAATTCCATTAATATTTTTTTATACTCATTTGATTGATGCCACTCAAGTCACAAATTTTTTTCTTCCGTCTGCACACACAGATGTACAAAGTTCGATGTTTACCTGTTCGTATGTATGAATGTACATATGTATGTATGTATTTATGAGTGTATCGGTATGCAAATAACACATTGAGGGAGTGTTCTTTTCAACTCAAGCATCATCTTCCAATTCTTTACTCCACCATGCGACTGACTTTGGGTCAGAGGGAGCATTTGCCAATTAACCTAGATATGTGCTTACATATATGTCTGTGCGTTTATATATGTATGCATGTATGTATTTATTTATATTTTTTCATTAAAACCAGCGAATGAAGTAGACACAAATTCACTTTCTTCACCTTTCACTGGAAATCTACATACTGACATACATACATACATACATGTTATATGTGTATGCGTGTTATGCATGAAATGTATGTACGTGTGTATACATTTATTGACCCATTTTGAAATATTCAAATATCTTTGACTGAAATTTGATACACCGACATCTGCGCAAATAACCTGAATTTGCTTGGCAGCAAATCTTTTTTTATTTTTCTACAGCAAATTAGCTCGGGATTTTTAGTAGAAATATTTCGTTCGCTCTTCGATAGTCTTCAGTTCATAACATGTAAGGCAATATTTACTAAAAAGAAATTAAATTATTATAATACCAAGAATGTGTTCTGGGACAGACAAGCTGCGTACTGATCTTTATCTTTTATCACTTCATTTCGGTTCGCTCCCAGTTTGAGCAACCCTGATGTTAATTTTGCAAATTTCATCTTCCACTCGCTTGCCTTGAAAATTTTAGCGCATTTGCCTCAATTTAAAACAACCTTTCATGCCAAAGCTTATTGCGCCATCCGTCGCTAAATGAGCTCTGAATACAGCGCGAATATCAAATCTAATTTTAACCTTTGTGAATTCTACTGAGGGAAAACGAGAGCAGGTCTATGTTGGGAAGGCACAAAGAACATCAAGCACCTCGACGTAATCTGGTCAATCTAACAGCGGTTAAAAGCCAACTCCAACCAAAAGTGAGCTTTGTCCTAATCAAAGTCCAGTTAGAGTCGGCTTTGTTTCGAGTGAGGAAAAGCTGTTTCCAAAGGAATCCTTTTACTTAGATTATGGGTGAGATAATGCAACAAAAGAGTTTAATAAAGTTCTGAACAAGTAGCAATAACAAGCATGCCGACACGCGTACTGCTCGATAGTTCAATGAAAAGAAGCGGCGACTCACCGAAGGTTTCAAAATCGGAGTGCCGGAATTAGCTTCGTTGTATATAATGATTTTACGATAGCATGCCCGAGCATTAGAACGTTCAGCCCAATTCATAAAAAAGTGGATCGTATGGTCTGTCCCAATCACCGGGATGTTAGCTTCCTACATATTATATATAATTGGCGCTTAGTAAGCGCTGAGATGAATTACGGCCGAGCTCCACCTCCATTTTGTGGTTATTTGCCTTGATTTTTTCCCACAAATGGAGGTCGTACAGTTTATACTAAGCCGCCTCCGAACGGCTGATGGTATTTTAGGAAGAGCCTTTATTTCATGTCAGAAATACACTCGGAGGGGTTGACATTCCCTGCCGAGGGGCGACCACAATTAGAAAATTTAACTTAAATTTTTAGTTAAATTATTTTTCTACACCTTTTTAGATGTTAGTACGACACCAGGACTTGAATCCGAGCCTTCCGAATGGGAGTACGAAATGCCAACCACTCGGCTACCGCGGCCGCCAATCAATATTACATACAAGTTTAACCGAGCGTCTTGTGTTAAAAACTAAAGTTCAACGTTGGTAAGAAATTCACCTTGCGCCAAATCTTAGAAGAGAGTCGCAACAAAAGCCCCCTATATACGGAATTTCATGTAAACGAAAACACAAGTGCGAATATATCAGTCAGTGGTCCGCTACCTGCAGAGAATAATCGACTTCCTGTTGATCTATGTACGTAGCGATAAAAACTTTTCCGAATATATCAGTCCCTGGTTCATATATGTTTGCTTTAAAGCTAAGTTGGCAGGTTGAATAAAGTTCTCTTTAAGATCTGGGCAACTAACATAAAATGCTGGTCAACAAATGCAGTTCCTTCAGTTGGAAGCTGTCGGCAGCTGCAACCGAACAATGAGGTTTCCAATTGATGAGCCTTGCAAATAATTGCACACATACAATACATATAAACATCAGTCAAATCCTTTTGACGCGTATTCAGCTGTGAAGTTGGAATCGCGCCACGCCGCAAACTCGACTGCTAATATAAAGACACGGCGGAGCAAAGCAATTGCAATTGTTGAAACTTAAATTAAATCCTTTTTCAGGCTCAATTTGTTTCATCTCCGCTCAAGGAAAAAAACTACGCTTCTTAAACGCACACCAAATCGCGCGCAAGGCAACACAATCAGCCAACCAACCAACCATCCAGCGAAACATATCAATGCCCATATGTATATATGTTTGTATTTAAAGTAATGTATGGCCACCGCAAAAAGTGAATTAAAGAATCCTTTTGCTCGAATTTTCACTTAAAAAACTGATGCACCTTTTCCAAGAAACCGCCAATGCCATTGCAAGGATATCCTTTGCTGTTGCGCGGATATCAGTGTGTAAGTGAGTGTGTGCGCGGGTGTGTGTGTGCATTATCCTTTTGTTGCAAATGACAAAAAAGGCGAAAAGACTCTTAACGCAAGCTGTGCCAACGGCGCAAAACAAATGAAATTTAAAAAAAAAAATCGAAAAAGGGAGCCTTGTAACGAATCAATTCCAACAACAAAGTGAGACATTTGAATTTAGTTCTTTAAACGTCTTCCTCTTCATTCCCTAATATTAACAGTAAATGATGCTTTGTTGTTTTCCTGTTATCTGGCAGAGATTTACTCAAGACATCACGGGGACCTGCGTCAAAGCGATTGGCTTGTACGAGTAAAGTAA